ATATACATGAATATTTTAAAACAGATACCTACGAATTTGATTGAGGTCACCCTAGCTTCTCTTATTCTGCTCACATTCATTTTTTTTTCTCTTCCATGAAACTAAGCGAGCGTAACGAGCATGGCGCTGCCGCAGTATGTCACTCACTCCTCATAATCACCCATCTCTCTCTCACTGCACAGACTGCACCCCATCTGTTTCCTGAGCTTTTTCTCCTTCCTTCTCTCCTATAATCCTCTCTCTCTCTCTCTCTCTCTCTCTCTCTCTCTCTCTCTCTCTCTCTCTCTCTCTCTCTCTCTCTCTCTCTCTCTCTCTCTCTCTCTGTGTCTTTCTCTTGGCGGAATCGATTGTCCACCACTCCCAGCCAACACCCTAATGCTCCTGTCTTCTGGAGCCATAGTGCACTGATTCAATTTAAGATACTCTCTTTATAGAAGAGTATAAAGCAGACAGGAAGTTCTCTGATTTGAACAAGCTTACTCTGCATATTCTGTGTACTGATTTACAAAGCGGGAACACAAGCTCAAATACTTATTTGCCTCCAAGCACTTAAGATTTCCTGTGGCCAGAGAGAATGAGATTATGAACATCGCGTATAATGCTATTGTTCCTGTTTTGATGGAAATACAGCAGTGTATTAGACTATGATTACTTGTTATGCAACCACTTTTAACAGTTCTGCTTGTGTTTGAGTGAAAATGGTTGCAAATCCTTCATAATAACTCAACCGCGCTCTCTCTCTCTATTTCAATGGGTGTTCACTAAGCCTTCTTTTACACCTGTTCTCTGTCTTGTGTGACCCGATCATCACAGGCAGAAAATCAGTGCTCTAAATATAGGTGTAAAAGAGGTTCAAAACATTTTGTGATCACAAATTATAGTATATTTCAAGGTAGTCAAAAGTGCATGTGATCACAGTGAGGTGTAAACACTGATCTGCTCTAATGTCTCTCGGACATTGCAGTAAATGCCTAGTCACCTCTCAATCATCCATTGCACTAAAACAGAGGGTTTAAATTTTACTTTAAAAGATAAATATGGGAAAAACCAAACATATAAGCCTGGTGAGAAGTTCCATATATTTTAAGCAATAGTGCGCCAAATCAATGCTTTGTTTAAAAATATTTGACATCAGTAAGATTTTACAGTTTTTTTATTTATCAGGGATGCATTAAATTGATCAAATGACAGTAAAGACATGTATAATGTTACAAAAGATTTTTATTTCAAATATATGCTGTTCAACTTTCTATTCATTCAAAGAACTGACAATAATGAAAATGTTTCTTGAGCAACAAATCAGGATATCACAACGATTTCTAAATGACCATGTGACACTGAAGATTAGAGTAATGATGCTGAAAATTCAGTTTTGCAAACAGGAATAAATTACATTTAAAAATTTATTACAATAAAAAAATAGTTATTTCAAATTGTAATAATATTTCAAAATATTGCTATTGTGATATTATAATATTATATAATTTCGGGGGATGTAAGCACAAGAAACTTCTTTCAAAAACATTAAAAAATCTTACTGACCCCAAACTGTATACAGTAGTTAAAACACCAGAGACCCTCCCTTCAAAATACAATCACAAGTGGGTACAGGAAACGTATTTTCCATCAATAAAAGGCATCAATACCATCTGTAAACAGGGGTAAGAAACTACAGAAGCATAGAAAGTGTCAATAATTTTCAGGAAGTGAATAACTGAAGATATGCTTGTTGTTTTGTTTGTGAGTATCATTGCTAATGATGTGAGTATTAGTGCTAGTTTCCAAATGGTTGTACTGATGGATGTCCCCCCTGCAGTCTGTAACCTTTATGGCTACACTCTCTGTCTGCATAATGCCACTTTAATGGGCCGTGGATCAATAGACGCTCTCACCACCCATAAAGCCCAGCCCATACATGTAAGGAGCACAATGGTATACAGCTACATAATATAACATCTATAGTATGAAACACAGGATGATTTTAAAAGAAAATATGATTGATGTTTGTCCACGCAAAACTGTCTAGGTGGTTCAGAGTGATTTTTAAGTGGTTTCTAATTCCCCACCCCCACATCTAACTTCCCATCATCACTTACAAAAGTAATAGCAACCTTTACTTAACAAACCTTGTAAAAAAAAAAAAAAAAAAAAAGTGTGCTGAAGTGTGCTTAACTGTATTGAATGTACACTTGTAGTTACTTCAAATCTTAAAAATATATTTTTAAAAACTGTACTTGTAGATAATGTAATATTAATGAAATAATAGTACATAAAGAGAATAAACTTGCAAGACTCTTAACTTTTAAAAATGCACTTTGTAATAATGTTAAATTGTAACTTTTATTTAAGCAATTTTTTTATATTTTGTAATTTTTTAAAGAAGTGCACTTATTTTGATGTGTTGACTAACATACTAAAGCACATCTACAACATACTTATAATAGTTATAATTTTCAGTGTTATTCGATATTACAAGTTAATATATTTTAAATGGACTAAACTATAACTTCATCGGTACAAATGTGTGATTACAAATACTTTTAACATAGCATACATGACAAAAGTTTCATCAGAAGAAATTATATTAAAGTATATCAATTTGTGTGTGTATATATATATATATATACACACACATATATATTAGTCTTCTAAGAATACTGTTCACAGTGCGTTGTTTACAGTGAAGTAATTGAATTACTCACCATGTGTCCTTATAATAATATTGTATTTTTGTAAACTGCACTGCACTCCTAGTGAATTGACATTTCGTTCCATTGCATACTTGTACATGCCTGTAATGACAATAAACTCTCTCTAATCTATTCTCTAATGTAATCTTTGGCCCTGTTTACACCTGGTATTAAGATGCGTTTTGTCGACAAAGAAGACACATTCTCGTTTATACCAGGTGTTTTAAACCGTCTCCTTTGTCCACCTGATTTCCTCGAGGGGACGGGTCTATGGGTGAGTAAAAGTATGGGCTTTTTCCTGATCTTTTGATCTAATGGACGAAATAAGCTCGTGCAAATTTACATTTGAACGCGAAAGGAGCCGATGGAAAAAACGTACAGAGAGTAGCAGCTTTCGTTCCTGCTCTGACAGCCGCAAGACCATGGCGAATGAAGTGAGTGCATGTTAGAAATCAGGAATGATGAGAGAACATTGTGCTTGGTACATTTTAAGTGTACTTCTTTTTCACACTAACTTGAATAAAAAAGCTTCCCCTTAAAACCACTTTTTTTAATCTGACAGTTACAAATGGAAACTTCACGAGTTCACACTAACATATAAGTTAGAATAAATATATAAAAAAATATGTGTATTTGGCGTGCTGTTCAAGGAGAGGCCTCAGAGCTCGGAATTTGGCCCGAATCCAGAGCACTCCCCCCAGGAATAATTAGGAGTGAGGAGTTGGGGTGGAGGATGTTGGAAAAACTGTCATGGAACAGAAGCAAGTCGGCTCAATATATAAGCCTCCTCTCGTGCTGATTGGATAGATTTTCCATATGTAATCTTCCCGAACTTTGTTAAAAAAATATATCAGGAAAATCAGACCCTTCCTGTCAGAATACGCAACACAGCTACTCGTCCAAGCGCTTGTAATTTCGAAACTGGACTACTGCAATGCTCTACTAGCGGGTCTTCCCAACCAGCACAACTAAGCCTCTGCAGATGATCCAGAATGCAGCAGCTCGTCTAGTCTTCAATCAGCTTAAGAAAACCCACGTCACACCCCTCCTGATCTCACTCCACTGGCACCCAATTGTGGCCAGAATCAAGTTTAAAGTTCTAAAGATGGCTTTCATGCCTACCTCAACCCACTACTAAAAATGTATGATCCCTCCCGCCAGCTCACTGAATGAGCGCCATCTTGTTGTTTCCTCACAATGAGGCAAAAAGTCACTTTCCAAAACCTTCACTCTCTCTGTTCCTGGTGGAATGAGCCGCCAATCTCCACTCAAACTACTGAGAACATCACATCTTTTAAGAAGCAGCTGAAGACGCACATATGCACCAATGCACTTACACACACACAGACACACACTTTAAAAAAGATTTGCATTTATTCTGTTCTCTAGCTGGTTTCCAAATCTAGTTGTCTAATAAACCTGTCATTGTGTACTTGTACTAGAAGGATTGCTGGCTCTAAGATGAATGCTTTGTTCTTTTGTAAGTCGCTTTGGATAAAAGCGTCTGCTAAATGCATAAATGTACAAATGCAGCTACAAAGGTCTCAAAAATCACAAGTCATATATCCTCTAAAATGCCAAACCAAAAAAAAAGGTTCAAAATGTCAACACAATAAAATCAACACTTCTGCGACTTGATCTCAAGGAAAGCTGTGGGATAATAGGTTCAATTAACTGGAATTGATGGCAGCGCTATCACTCTGAAACTGCTTGTATCAATCACAGGCACGCTTAACCTCGGGCAAAGATCTCAAAATCTTTTCTTTTACCTTATTTCCTACATCAGGTTTATGCTGGAGAAAGCCTTTCACCCACAATGACTGCCGCTAACCATAAAACATCTAGGGAGATCCATAAAGGTTCCAGCAGCCATCTCATGGGAATGATTAAGTTTAACGATTGCAGCGTTGAATAACAGCCGAGGAATATGATGCCGTTTGCAGGGCCAGCAGCAGCACCCAATACTGAAGTTTTCATGCTTCCGAATGATTTAAGTGTGGTTTTATGAAGATTACAGACATCTAAGGCCACATACACACTGCAGCTAAATTCGGTTGTCAATTCACCTTTTAGTCCTGTTCTGTACACACAAAGTTTTGTGATTTACAGAAGTATCAATTGCATTCTACAAAAATTCTGCAAAAAAACAATTGTGATGTGTCAATCATCACAATTTAAAGAGTGAGTCGTGTTCCGTTCCGTTAGGTGATTCACCTCTATATTTAAATGCGGTTGTCACTCCTGAAACTTTACAGTGTGTACGTGGCCTAAGATATCCCACAATCCTGTGCAAGGGCAAGAAACACTCACCTGTGTGTTCCTCTTGCTGATTTGCTGGGTGATATGGGCTCGTCCCGTGCTGGGGTCTACGCCCACCAATGGCACGACCGCCTCCCCAATGACATCATCTCGTGCAAAGCGATCAAAGCTGAGCACCAGGAAGTGCAGCTTGAGCTCGGGCAGCAAGCTGTACGGGATGCCGTAGAAGGTGAACGTCTCGTCAAACACGGGCTCCAGAGTCTTCCTCAGTACACGTGTCTTCACCCGGTGCTTCTTCTCGGGTAGGATGGTCATCTTCACGTAGGGGTCAGAACTGCCCGCCTGTTCGTCCACCGCGGGGAGTCCCTGCGCTCCTACGATAGTGACAACGAGTGCCTTCTTGGGGAAGTTGTAGTCAATGGCCAGACTGAGCGTTCCCAGAGAGGGTGAGTTGAGACTGTAGGGTGATGCCGTTTTACTGGGTGCTTCACTGCTGCTTCCTGAGCTGCTCTCCATACAGCAGTAGTCCGCCCGGATGGGCAGCGCCCTGTCCAGTCTGGGAGGACCCATAGGGGGAACCAGGTGGTTCATCTGTAGGTGCGTGGTACCACCTTCAGGATCTGCATCCACAAGGAGCACGTCACCGTTTCGGGATCCACGACTCCATTCTCTTAACAAGGAACTTGATCCTGAGCGTTGGCCCACCCGTACAATCTTCTTGTTGTTGCTGAGGGTCTCGGGGTAGATGCTGATGCCTTTGAGCATGTGGATGAACTTGTAGGGGGGGTCAACGGGTGGGTCGTAGGGGCCACTGGTCAGCTTGTACGCACCTGCCATTTGACGATATCGCCGCTGACAGCACGTCCAGAGGAAAACAGCCACTGTCACGGAGACAACCAAGACCCCTGCACCCAGAAAACCTGCCAGCACTGGGGACACATCTGAAAGAGACAAGGACAAGAAATTAGATCACCTCTTGTGGAAAAGAAATACATTTTAGCATACTTTTAAAAGGGGTAGTTATTACAGAATTAATATATTTAAGTATAATTAATTATATATATTTACATATAAGTGCAAATTGAATGTAATGTTTTTGGGCACTTAATTGCATGTTGATTGCAATTAAATGGAAATGCATTATAGGTTAAATGTATATTAAAGACCCACTGCAGCGTGCAGCATTATTCAATGTGTTGACGTAATTTACACTACAAGTGCACATTCAATACATACTTTTCACAAGGGACATCATGATTATATATATTTTTTTATAATCTACTTTAAAAAAAAAACTGCTTGTGGAAATTTTGCCACAGAAATGTATAAATACAGGTGATCACATGTCAAACACTGAGGGCAGTTATATGGTAACAAGGATAAGTCTCCCCTCAGTTACCCACCCATTTACTATAGGGATAACAAAGATAACTTTCCTATTGAGTGAACATTTACAGAAGAAAAAACACAGCTAAAAGTTCATGTTTCTTTTTTCAAGGGAATAGGATCTTACTTTCCACCTAGATAATGAATAAACACTAATTTAACCATCTCAATTTGTATTAAAGATACAATTATCTTTCACTATTATACAGTATGTCTTCGTTTAGATATAAATGATGTAATAAACAAGGAAATTCCTAAAAATGCATGAAATTGGAGAGTGAAAAGATTTATAAAACTATTACCACAGGGAATTTGATACTGACTTGGATTCTCAGAGAGCTATATGAACATGTCTGCATTCATGGTAATAAAATATACTTCTACAACATGCAGTACTAAAGCAAACTACCTTCTGTGACCTTGAATAGACTAAATAAATAAAATAAGATCTTAAAGCAAAGCACATAAACAGTTTCTACCATCAGACTTCAGATTTAACCCTCTACTGCACAGTGTTGCCATATGGCAACATACCCTTTCTTTGGACATTTCTTGAAATTTGAAAATAAACAGGAGCTCTAATTGATCTTAAATTCATAATAGAACCCGGTGGTAACCAATGATATGCTTTGATGACATCACGACACTACACACACCCTTGCAACGTCATTCTTTTCACACACTTTTGATGACTCCAGCTGCTGAAAAAGTGCTCGTGTATATGTGAAGATTTTCCTCATTTTTTTCATATTTCTTCGGAATAAAAAAATACATCAAGCATCTGGGATAAGTTCTAATCTTTTTTCAATCACTGTCACATTGTTTTGATACTTATATTACCTTTTTATTTAATAAAATAGGTATGTTGCCATATGGCAACATTGTGCGGTAATGGAACAATATTTTGCCCATGCTAATGCAGAGTAGCTTTGTATGAATGACAATGTATGGATGCACTGATATAGTTGGATGGTTGTATTATACTCATATATTTATATATATTTGTATATATTTATAAAGTAAAGTAAAAGTAAAGTATAAAAGTAAAATATATATCCGTCTTGACCGCTTTGATCACTGGCCAGAGATGGGTGCACCAAAAGGAAGGTGCCAGAATCCTGGCTGCAAGGGCATCGTCAGAGGGGTTTGCTCTAAGTGCAAGGTGCACCTCTGCCTTAAAGGTGGGGTATGTGATTTGCAAAACGGCCGGCAGATTTTGAAAATACACAACTCAAAAGGTCCTACCTTCTTTCCTCCAACGCTGGCCCTGACTCCACCCACTCCACCCATTCGAAGAGGGGCATGGGGGGAGGGGGATATGGTACGACCGTTTGATTGACGCACTTACTGTCCAATGATTCTAGGTGGTCTTGGAAATGATTGGCTGGAGTTTTTCGAGTCCTGCCCGTTCCACAGATGATTAAATTTTTTAATTTTCATGTCAGTGCTTCTAACTCAGTGGCTGTAAGTGGGTTAGGAATAGGATTTCAAGTGATTTTGAAAAAATGGTCAAAAAAGAAAATCACATACCCCACCTTTAACGGAGAGAACAACTGCTTTAAGGCGTTTCACATCGAGTAGTTTCACTTGAACAGTTCTTATGAGTTTGCGTCAGATGTTTTGTAAATGTTGTTGAAATAATCGTTTCACATTGAGTAGTTTCACTTGAACAGTTCTTATGAGTTTGCGTCAGATGTTTTGTAAATGTTGTTGAAATAATCGTTTCACATTGAGTAGTTTCACTTGAACAGTTCTTATGAGTTTGCGTCAGATGTTTTGTAAATATTGTTAAAATAATACTTTGAAAATTAGTTTCATATTTTGTACACAAAGCTCTTGAAAACATTTTTAATAATAAAAACAATTTCATTTCTAAAAGACAGGTCTGTAATCATCTATGAATTTCATATCATTTTGGGAGAAAACGCATCAGGCTGTTCCATTGTCGCACAATGTTGCCATATGGCAACGTACCCAAAAGTACCCCTCCCAAAAAAAAAAAAGAAATGTTAATTTGAGTCTATTTTATATATAAAAAAACACTGTAAATTTTTTTTCCATGATTGCATAATAATGCGTGCAGTAGAGGGTTAAGATGCCAGAATATTGCAGAAACAGAGCAAAGCAATCATTCTGCAAGTGATTAAGTTACTAAATAAATATACTTGAACTTGGGAAAAGGCCATCTTTTTATTTTTTTGTCTGTAATGTATTGTTTGTACTTTTAATATGCATTTTGGACATTTATATAGAAAATATTTTCAAATTTAATATATTTCCATGTTGTCTTGTCATTTGTCTATTCATGAATCTTTATACAAAATAAGTGTGCAGAGAACATAAACAAACTTAACAAAAATGAATAACATTATCAAACTGAAAGCGTTTCTACATTGAAAAATATCACAATTTAGCTTCAAAATGTGGATCCAAAAAGTACATGTGGACTATAACTAAATCTAACTAAATACTGTGCACAAATCATTTTTCTTCATAACTCATAATTTAATTGCGGCCCACGTTCACACAGAGCTGTGGGTAATGTGGAGTTGGATGAGGTTTCTAGAGAAAATCATCTGGTCTTAAAGTGAATTAAACAGAACAACAAACACGGACACCAATGGCCGACTGACCCAGTTAGAAAAGAGAGTGACAGGGAAGAGAACACAGAAAAACAGCAGCAGCGCTTCAGGTCAGTACAAGCAAATGCAAAAACATGCATATGAAAAAACAGCAAAAAAAGATGTATGGAATACACTTGTTTGTGTGAGAGAAAAAGCTCACTCAAATTAAAAAAAAATGAGCTTTCTAGGCTATTGAAATGATCCGTGTAATGAAAAACAATTTTCAGGGTATATTGCAGGATAATTCTTGCTCTTGGCTGCAGCTTGGATTCTTTCCAGTTTAATTCATGACTGCTTGCTTCACAACCATTTGCTATCTAATGGGGCTGATGCTGAGCACAGCAGTTATATTTATGATCATGGATTCTTTATTACAGCCCATGAGAAGATCCAGCATAGCAGTAACATGCACCTGGCTGGAGCCTTTACTGTTATTCACACAGATCTAATCTCAACACCCAGACATCTCTTCTGTTTCATTAAAGGTGACAAAACTGACACTGCCAACAGAATGTGGTCATTTATATGACTGTCATATCTGGCTCATTAAAACAATTCCCCTGAAACTTTCAAATGTCAGAAACAGACCATAACAAGCTTAACCAGAGCTGGCAGGTTCTTCTTTTGCCCTATGCTGCAGGGCATTCAATTAGGAAACATCACACTGTGGGCTCCCTTTGCCCAAACACCTTTAATAACAGACAAAGTAGCATTGTCCGGAGGGCTCTACACATGGCTTTAGGACAAAACTAAACAATCACCACCCATTTTGCTTTATTAATTGGGATCTGGATAGTTCTACAAAAGTTGGTGTTTCACAATATCTCATTTTGTGGGAGTATGGCCTCCGAATGCTGACTCTGATTCCGACAGGTCAACCATGGCATTCAGAGCTCAACTATTCCACTGTTGCCCGTCATCTGGAGTTTCCGAGTTGGGGGGGCGAGTCGGTGAGAAAACGTGGGGCGGAATGGATGCAGTGGTGAATCTTTTAAAATGAATGATTTTTTTTTTTCATTTCTACAGTAAGCTGCATACAAAATACCGTATCGTACTAGCTCAATAGAATATAGCTATTATATTTACAGCACCTTCTTAAATTGAATAAAAACATATAGCAAAAACGCAACCAATGTGCTTTATTCATCATTTTGTAGATGAACATTTTTTAAATTGCATGTAGAGGTTATAATTACGACTTCCAAACTCATAAATATGACTTGAAAGAGCGGACTTCGGTCATTACTGCAGCATTGTTGCAGTGTGTTAGTAGGTTGATTGTTTTGGACATTGTTTCTTCTTTAAAATAACAATAAAATACACTGAAAAAACTATACAATTTCTTGTACACATTTATTTATTTGTATTTTTTCCATAAACCACTTTTTTGATGGCTAATAGCCAATATATAATGTGATATCACACTATTTAATAAAGATTGTGAGTCAACACCCAAACTAACAATTTTGTGAATATTTGCGATGTCTGCTCTGTGTGTGTGTGTGTGTGCTGATTTTTTTAAAATTGTGTTTGTACATCGCCCTGCTGTGTAAACGAGAAGAAAAACAAACGGAGTGGATCGGACCGATCCATGGAGCACCAAAACACTCAATAGGGGGTGTGTCCACTCATGATGGGGGAGGAGAGAGAGTGAGCAAGCGGGACATTTGTAGAAAGACTGTAGAAAGAGATATGGCTAATAGAAGATAATAGAGATAATACCAAAGAGGAAAAGATCTGAGGAATATAATTGAAAAAATAAGGGTTTTGATCAAGCAAGACAAAGGACCTGCGTTAATACTTTACAGCACTGGAGAGATGTTAGAGAGCGGGAAGACCTGAAAACAAATGCTGAGGTTGCTTTGTTTCTAATTTATACGTGAGTAATATAGGTTTACACTATGCTACACAGACCAACCAAGATATGCTGT